GTGGGGGGGTGTTAATTAGTCTTTCAATCTTAAACATTCCATGCCAAGAGTGACTTGCGTAATGTTTCACCTTTAAATTGGTTTGAGTTACCAAAGCACAGAAAACTCCTGAAATAGCTTTGCTGAATGTTGGGCCCAGCATAAGAATTGAATTCCCACATGTGCTACTTGCAGTTTCATTCTAAAGGGTTGTGCGGAGAAAGGCAGGAATGAAAGTGCTCTTTCAGCTACAAGTACAGTACTTCACCAAAATCAAATTTAGCTGTCATTTGAGGTCAATGGAGCTTTGTATGTCGAAAGCAAATGCTTCTATATTGGGGGGTGGGGGGGGTGCAGACAAACAGCTGAAATCAGCTTAATTGCAGGTCGAAGCTGAATTAGATACTATCAGAGATTTTTTTTTTTTGTCTCCTGCCTGTGCATCTTCCTTGTCTTACATATTAAATACTTTCTCATCCTTAGAGTAGGGTACCTTATTGCTATGAACAGAAGGCATGACTGTTGTTTCTGTGTTGCTGCTAGTTTGGCAACCAAGAAGTTTGCTTTTGAGGTATCAATTTCATATGCTTTGGGGAAATAAAACCAAAATGCAATGGATGTTGGTGTGAGAGAAGATAAGGGTATTTGTCTAAAAACAAAATAACGGGAAACTTATTTGTATTTGGCTTCAAATACATCTTATGTAAAAGGAAATCTTTTTACCCTGGTGTACTTCTTGCTGTGGTTTTAATCTAGTTTTATAATTTGGCAATTGGTGAAGTATTCAAGTATCTTGAAACTCCTTCCCCTCTGGATTTTCTTTGCTTTGCTTTTGGAATATATACTGATGTTACTTGCAAGATTGATTTATTTTTTTTAAATTTACTAATACTGCTTATCTTTGATTTGACTTTCAAGAAATAAAATTATCCATGCTTCAGCCTAACTTTTAATCAGGAAGTATAAAGTGGTATACCTGAATTGATCTTAAATAATTAATGTCTTGAGATACTTAGTTTCTTAATGAGAAGGTGTTTTTTTTCCTTTCAAAACTGATACAAAAAAGGGCAAGAATGTATTTATGGAGGGGACAAAAATTGGAAAATTAGTATTATCTCACCCAAGTGACAGATATCAATAACTGATTTACAAGTTAGACCATTTGAGAATAGTTAGGAGGCTCAGAACACTGTTGAAAATGGTAATTTGTTGTCATTTTCTTGTTGTAAGAAGGTTTACAGATCTTTAAAAGCCGGGGCAAAAAAAATGCAAATTGTATAATGTTTATGGAAACTAAACCTAAGGATGTTATATGAGTTGCCTTGATTTTTATGACTTATTTCTCATTTTTAGTACACTTTCACACAGAATTGATATATAGGAGGTATGTGTCCCTAGTCTTTTTGACTGAAAGGGTGATTTTCTTTTTGCATGAGAAAAAAATCCTTTTTGACTGAAAGGGTGATATTTATTTTTTTTTTTCTTTTTTCATGTGAAAAAAAATCATAATACGGGTTTTGTGGTAAGTAGTTGTGTTGTCGTTCACTAATGATGCGGTGACTAAACAGTAACTTGTGAATTCATGTGACTATTGTTAATTATAATTATTATGTAGTAAGTAAGCATGTGTTACCATGTTTGTCTTTCATTTTATAGTTCTCATTCACAGTGTCAGGTGTTCAAGTTTCAAGAAGAGTTCAGCATAGGTGTCCCCCTCCCATACTTCCCCTTAATTTACTGCTAGAAGTAATACTTCCAGAATTTTTTAAAATTACTTTTCTTTGTGGGCTATACATCGACCATAAAATGGTGGGGCTGGGGGGTTTATATGTATAGATCATGCAAAGCATACATGTGAGACTATTTGTATTATTGGGCAGACTTTATATGCATTTTAGGGAAGAGCATTGTGTTAGATGCAGGATGTCTTTTCTAGAAGACCTTTGGGCTGTAGGAAAGTCCAGATTTTCAAATATAAACTGTAGAAGAATAGTTTTCTCAGGCTTCTAAATACTGGGTTTTATGTATCAATTCCAGGTTTGTAGAAGAAGGGAAAATGGCTCAAGAAACTAACCGTAGCCAAGTGCCTATGCTTTGTTCCACTGGTTGCGGATTTTATGGGAATCCTCGTACAAATGGCATGTGTTCAGTGTGCTACAAAGAACATCTTCAAAGGCAGAACAGTAATGGTAGAATTAGCCCTCCTGGTAAGTAATGCTAACACGTCTGTTTGAACAACTCAAAATGACACAGAAGACAGCAACTTGCTTCCTGATCATGTCCAAATACCAGAAGTATAGGAGCATTAGTGCAAACCATTTTATTCAAGTATTTTACCTTATGGAATGAGCTTGGATGAAATGCTTATAATATAATTGTACTATGATTAATCTGCTCAGAAGTAGACTCTTGCTAATGCCTTTTGTATTAATCTGAGTGTTTCCAATTTGAAGATAGAAAAATGCAGAAAAAAGTACTATACCAACATACTATTCCTGAAATTACTGACTGTAGAGATAACATTTAGCTTGGGGAATGTTTGTGAAAAGCATTTAAAATACAGGTATTTTAATTCTGCAGTCTGATGCTGAAGGATTAACCTGTAGACACTTTTTCAGAATAGTTTCTCCTAACTTCAGCTAGACACTGTTATTCTTTTGGCCCAGTGCCCCATGTACTAGGGTCTTTCCTACAAAGCAGATTTCCCACTGAAATAAGTGCTGTCTTCTACATTCACTCTAGAAAAAGCTAGAGGGCTCTTCCCCCCTTAAATTAACAGTACTGCCCTCAAAAAGAGGAAACCTTTGTTCGGTTCACCTGAATGTTTTCTACTTCAGCATGTTCTTCTAGGGGAAGGAGGGTTAGGGACTGCTTCTAAAATGTCTCTTCTGGCTTGGCTGAGTACTGACAGCAAGGAATCTCATGGCACGCTCCTGAAGATTTCCCTCCTTTACTTAATATTAACTTGACTTTTAAAATAGAAGCAATAGCCTCCACTGAAATCTGGGGATCTAGGTTCTACATTTCAAAATGGATCCTAAGTTGGCATTAGGATGCTACACCACTGTGTTTCACAGATACATCTTGGTTTGTTAAACAAAAATAAGTTTTTCATGTCATGATACTGCAGTTTATGCGGAGAAAGCTGTTTGTAGATTCTTTAATTAGCAGAAAATACTTCAAAATCTTATGCTATGTAACTTCTGGGGGCCTGGGGCTGGAACGTGAGCAAAATATGGCAAAATAATTACTTTTTGTAAAATTATGTTTCATTATGATGTAGGCTGAGATTCAATTACTTTCCTGGCTGGTGTCATGGGAGTCAAAGAATAATTGCATTGTATAACTTTTGTAATCTCAGGAAGTAGTGTAACACATTTTACATTAGTGTCTTCCTTCCAGCAACTTCTGTCAGTAGTATAACTGAGTCCTTACCGGTTCAGTGCACAGAAGGCAGCACCCAGGAAACTCAGTCAACTTTAGATTCTACATCGACTCCGTCTATGCAGCCAAGGTAAGCTGTTTCTGTTTTTCTGTCTTTTTACACAAACATCTCTATCAAGATTGTTAAATTAAATGTATTGATACTGCATAATTAAATGCTAGGACCTGGATTAGGAAAATGTGTAAAATGTAACTGCTAACTTTAAAGCATGGGATCTCACAGTAAATAGTAGCTGATCTGTTAGCTACATCTTGCATTCAAATGCAAATTCATCTTTAGAATTTAGCCTCAAATAGGAACATTGCCAACTTCATGCTGTTCCACAGAGACTTGTCTGGCTACTCTTCTGACTCCACAACGTGCAGTTGGTTGTGCATTTACCAAAGGAGAGCTCTTTCCATCTTAGAAATTTGAGGATTTTGTAAAATGGCAGAAAGCTGCTTACTACTCTCATAAATAAATGTGTGATAATGTGTGAACTAGTTGCTTTGGAAAAAGTGGGGCATACTAGAAGAGAGGAAATGTACTAAGATTCAGATACAAGTTGTGCTACTGAACTGATTTCTTATTAAGCAAGTAATTTCCAACTGGATTATTCAAGGAGACATAATGTCCTCTTGTAAATCACTCAGACTTACTAAGTGCTCTCCATTTGTAAAAGCTAAATATTTGTTTATATTTAGTAGCTGCATTTCAGAGTGACACAACCAACAGTGACTTAAGTGCTCTGAAAATTTTTGAGTGAAAAATGTTAGTGTGTTATACTCTAAACTAACTTGCAGTAGTATTAATTCCAACTTTCCTTTAAAAATCAGAATGTAGTAAAACACAGGCCAAGGGTGATTTAATCAGTTATTGTTGGCTGATTCTGTTGAGACTGTTTTCTGCTCCTTAGCTTTTTATAGGAGGTGTTATCTCATGCTTGGATTGTGCATATGAACTGAGAGCTAGGTGCCATGCTTGATGCTACATTTGGTCTTTCCATTTTGGGCTTTCTAATTGGGGTAGAAAATAGCTATCTTACCCTGATACAGCTCTTCTGGTATGTGTGTGTGTTTGTTTTGGTTTTTTTTAAAAAAAATAAGAAATTATTCATCCAGGCGAATGCACAGAGGTGAACCATTTGCGGTGCCTTGGGTTTGTTGTCTCTCACAACCTTTCTAATACCATGAAAGAGAAAGAAAAGTATTTCTTTGATCACTAGCTTGATTACTGGTTACAGAAGAAATGAGTGGATGGTTGCTGTTAGACTTGCACTTCAAAAAATCAATGTCACTTGTTCTTTCTTCCAAAATAAAAGCAGGGATTCAACTTCAGTCTCTGGTAATACCTCAGAGTTCTGATACTCCGAGGGAAATGTCTAGTAAAATGACAGTGCCCTTTTGTAGGTGACCGAACCTGCAGTTCAAGACCTGCATGCAATTCTTGCCAATTAAAATTGCAACTCCAGTGCCCTGGTTGTGTCATGGATTACTGGTAGGGCTTTGCTGGTTCATGGGCTGCTGGATAATCCAATTTCTTGGATTTAGAGTGAATCCCTAAGTGGAAAGGGAGAAACAAATTGGGCAAATGGGGTGGTGCCACCTTTCACTTGGGACTTCAAGCCCTATCTTGTTCCGTAGTGTTGCTGCTGGATGAGCATTTTGGCTGAGAATGACTGGTAGTATTGAATCTCTCTCCCATAACTGTCAAGGAATTAATCTGAGTTTTCAGTCAAACTGTGATTTTTAGCAGTGTGCTGACAGGGTTGGGAAGTTCGGTCAGCACCGCTTTACACTGCAAATATCTAAGGGGTTCTGTGTACAGCTGCAGATGCCTTATTTCTGACAACACTGATGTGCTGCAATTTTCTTGTTCATATCACTGGAACACCAGAAGTAGCTCCTCTACAATTATCTTGCTGACTTATGTTATAAAAGTGCTTGCATATTGGATGTTGCATTGTTGCTTCTGTTTGGAAGGATGGTATGTCAAATTATCCCAAAATATTTTTTTCCCTTTTTATAGTTGAACTGGTTTATTGCATTTACTATGAATGCAAAAATGTTTAACTTTTTCTTCAAATCAGGCTGTCTAGTATTCTTGGATACTGTGGCATTTTTAAATGGTTACAGAAACAACTTCAGAGTGAAGAGTTCTGGCATGCTCTCTCATCAAGACATACTCTGATGCATTTCTTTCAGGATATCATAAAAATCATAACTTTTTTTTTACCCCCCAGCCCTGTGTCAAGTCAGTCACTTTTAACAGAATCCGTAGCATCATCCCAACCGGATAGTACGGCTGTGGACAAAACAGTACCTGAGACAGAAGATTTGCAAGGTTAGTGCCTAGTTTTCAGACAGAACTTTTGCATAGTGTTTTTAAAACTTTCAGTGGTCTTAATATACTCCTGTTGAAGGGATGGCTTGTTCTCAAACCCAAATATTCTGTGAAATCAGAAGACAAAATAAGGATAAATCACTTCTAAGAAAAAACAAGTCTTAAAGGGAAAACTTTTATGTTTAACTGGTGATTTCACTATCTCCTGTAACAAGTGTGTTAATTGGGGTTGGAAATGCACATCGTGAATCAAATCTACTGTTCAGTCCTTACACCACAGATATTACATGTAAGTAGAGTTTTGAGTATCTGTTACTTCTCAGAATAGTCATTTGCAGCAAATATCACAGTTTATGAGTGTGTTTGTGATGAAGGGTGTTATGACATAGCTATTATAAGAACAGTGTTAGTATCTTCTATAAACATGAAACACCTCTAAAAGAACCTTTCACCTGTGAACTGTAGTGGTGTAATATTTTTATTCACTGAAATTCACTTTATCAAATATAAAATTACCAGACCACAAACTCTGGTTGCTTGAGGAAAAAATGGCTGAGTGGGTGAGTTAACTTTATTGGCCTAGAATCGTTATTGCTGGTACAATGTAAAGTTTTTTATCTTTGATTTTTTTTTTTCTTTTTATGTGCAGGCTTATAGAACTTAAAACTAAAGAATTTTTAATAGTATTTCTTAGGAAAAGGCAAAAATGCCAGATAGGATACAAAATTTGCTCAGACTTGTAATCCATAGACATTATAAAAGGTATTTAAAGGTAAGTCAGTAAATATTCTGCCTTTAACTTCTGCTGACACAGCTAAGGCTGTAGAGGGTAGAGTTATGTTTCTGCAGACTAGTCTAAAGATAGAGTTTGGTTTTCCCACAGATACAACATGTAATTCCACTTAAAGATGCTAAATATAAGTTATTCCATTGTACCTCTGGTATCAAAGTTCTGCTTTTCAGATACTTTTCTAAACCTGAGCTCTCCCTTTTATAGGGTGGAGTAGAAGGGTCATTATTCAGCTAATGTGCTGAGCAAGGCCATCTCGGTCACACAAACAGTAGCTGTAAAGCTCAGAGAAAAGGTTTTAATGCTAATGCCAATTTGTATTAGCTTTTGAGATGTCAATTATTAGCAACATGTTTACTCTTAAAAAGATGTATTCTAGACTTACGTTCTAATACCTGCTGGTTAGTTCGTTTTCTGGTGCTGAGAGCTCTTGTTGCCTCAGTTTTGACAACGCACATAAGGCATGCTTTTAATACTGATCACTGATGTCTGGCCTCGTTGGCCAGAAGAAGTGCTGAAAAGGCTTATGCTTGTTAAGTTCTGTATATTTGCCTAGCAGAGGTAGGCTTCCAAGCTAGATTTTTAGTCGATACACCTCTGAGTAATGCCGACGTGGCTCTACTTTCACCCCTGTTGTGCAGTGTGGGGAACCTGGGATGTGATGCGTGCCAGCTGTAACCCAGCTCCCATGCAGGTACATCCCTTCCCTCAGAAGTAGAACATCTCGGGCACATGCATATAGCACTGCAGGTTTATGCTGATAGGGATGTGGTATATATGAGAGAATATAAAGGCAGCTTCTGTAAGCTGATCTTCTCACTAGCCTGTTTTTTCTTCTTCTTCCTGTTAGTCTCATGATTATTTGTCTTCAATCCAGTGCCCGAATTAGTCTGTTTACATACGTATCTTACTCACTTGGTTTAGCTGTAAGATGAAACTCTAGGTTTGCAGCATCTACTGTCTTTTCACTGGGAGGTGGGTGGAGTGCTTTATTATTTTAAAATAATCTTTGATTGCACTGTGAGGTGACTTGGGCCTGTGAAAAGACTTTTCCCAGCAAGTTTTTAGAGGAATGTCTCAACCATTTGGAAAAATTTATGCTCCTTCTCATACTCCATCTCTAAAGCTAATTCTCCCTATGAGAAGATAAGAAAGGTTTCTCAGCTAGAAGCTTAGATTTCAGGCACATGCATGCATTTTACAGTATGTATTTCAACCTGTATCAAGTGTTCATAGTACTCAGCTGTGTCGTGTCCCTTTCTCTGTACCATAGTGATTTCTAAACTAAGAACACCACCACCATGTAATTGCAGTTATAAATTACAATCCCTATTTATAACTCACTGTGGCAGGGTCACCCTTGTTTCCTGGAGAGTTGCTTCTGTGTTGTACTTTAACTGAAAATGATAGAAAACATACTGTTTCCAGTTTTAAAGTATTTTGCTTTGAAAGTGTAAGCTTGGAAAGAAAGCAGCTTATAAATGAATGCTAAGTGGATTTCACTGAATTGTTCTCAAAACTGTGCATCCTAAAGTTTCTTTTTCTGCGCCCCATCATTCGGAATCTGAATTTTAGGCTGCTGCCAAGAATGTTAGAGAAAGTGTGTGTATCAATTTTTTTTCTTTAAATGCTACAAAGCCAGACAATACTAAATAAAAGTCACAGAAAAGTAGTACTTGGTCTCAGACTGAAGAGATTACATTGCTACTTCTGTTGATGTAGGAGAGAGAAAAAAGATATTTTGTCTGTTTTGATCATTTGTTCAGTAGTTGATAAAAATTTTGCTTCCTTGCAATGTCTGTTCTGGCACAAATTGATCTGTGTTACTTGTATAATAAGTTAGTCTGCATTTAGTTGAGGTCTGCTTGCCATTTAACAAAATTTACTAGGCTACAGTAACAATGACTGAAAGATAGGGTGAATAGTTAAGCTTTCTTTGCTTTAAAAAATATAATAGTAATAGTAATCTGACAGATAAATGGGACTTGAGCTCTGTGCACACGGTCCTTGCTGTTTGCAGACAAGCTAAAAGAGAAAAATCCCAAAGAGCAGTTCAGATTTCTTTGTCTTGATTGGAGTTATGCATTACAAAATAATAGAGGAAAACTACACAATATGTTAATATGTCTAGATTTTACATTTAGTGATTTTGTGATAATGCTTGTAGCTATGGAAAACTGCAAAAAGCCCAGATGCTAGATAGGGGATAATAGAGTATTTATTTTTCACTTTAATGTTCTTAAATATTCTAAACATACCGTTAAAGATGACCTAATAAAATCTCTCATTAAGGTACAATCCAGCTTTTCTAGTAGCTTTCTTCTATTCTGAGCAACCCTCCAACTCATTTTAGATTCCCTCATCGGCTGTTGTACTTTTTGCTCAACATTACAGCCCTGTTTGGATTTGCCAGTCAGGATTCCTTATTTGATAGCCAGGAGATTAACGAGGCTGCCTCCTGGCAAGCCTGCAAGCGGGTAGAGGCACTGCACTTCTCTGGGAGTAATGAGTTTAAAACCATCCGGATTCGTGCTTTATATTTCAGGGAGGTTTTAAAAGGTAAATGAAACTTGTCATGGAATGCAGGAGCACTCCACCACATAGTTTATGGAGCTCTTACAACTCAAGAATGTAGAACTAAAAGTATAAATTGTCTTCAGGGGTGGGCTCTTGGCTTCCTTGAGGCTGAAAACTTCTGAGCGCCAAACCAGCCACTCTGATTTTTTTTTTTTTTTCCTTTTATTTTTTTTCCCCGAACTCATTGTGAATCGAAGAGTTCCATGTATTAGCATTGCAAAATGTGATCAGTTGTGTAATATGTTGTGGTTACTATTCTGAAAATCAAAATAAAAAGATTTGAATAACTAGCTAAAAAGTACACGACACTTCTTCTGAATGAAGTCACCTGGTTTTGCACTCATCTAGGTTTTCAGAGAGGTAAAACAATTTTAATTCAGTCATTGCTGACAAAATTTTAAAAACTTCTTATTAAAACAAGCAATTTGTTACAGAATTTTACATGGTGATAACCTGGAGCTAAGGTGAATGCTCTTGAACTAATGGCATCAACTTCAGTGGACCTTATCAGAGCTAGCTCAGTAAGAGAGTACTGGAAAGGAATTGATGGATATTTTGAATTTTTGTGACAGTATCAGGGGTTTGAAGGTAGAGTATGATTATGATACGAGTGTAGAAAACAATGTAGGATGTCCTGATTTACTGTATTAATGTATCAGGGAAACTTTTGTAAGAAAGATTTAAATCTAAATTCTGTAGGCGAGTGTGCTCTTATTTAAAATTTGCCTCTTCCAAACTCTGAAACAGTGTATTTTAGGCTGATTATTACTTCATCTTAGTGTTAGAATGTTAGGAAGTAATGATTTACTTTCCGTTTCTCTGGAGGAATGGGTATTCTTCCTAGATCTGGTCAGATACGTGTAAGAGGTAAAAGCATCTGTTCATACTTTCTGTGGGAATGAGGAATGTTTTTCTTTAAGAAGCTCTGCTTAGCAATGCCGGGTTGACAAAAATAAAACATCCAGAGTAGGGTAGACGAGGTGTCCAGAGTCTTGTAGCAAATGAGTGGAGCTCAGTGGTGTGCCTGCAGGGATTCAAGGACTGGACTGTGCTTTGTCTTGAGGGTGCTGTTTTCATGGTCGGTCAGAGTACGCTGAAGTTCAAGCAGGGTTGACACAAGCAAAGCCGCAGAAAAAGCTTCTGCCTTTAGGAGGAAATCCAGGCTCTGCTTGTTTTGATCAGCTAAGAACATGCTCTGTGAAACAGGGAACTTCTAGCAGCCAGCCCAACTTGTCAGCTCCAGAAAAATGAGTGTGTTTGTGCTTTATTACTTTTTGGTTAGTTGGCAGCTTGTACTGGTGCTGCAAGTGCTTCTGTTCTCCAGTTAAAGCCTAGCAGGGCTGGAAGGAGGGAGGGAATCAGTTCAAGCAACGCAGGCAGCAGCATCCCAGAATCCAGACAAAGTACAGCAGCTGGGAGTGGCTGCAACATGTTTCCTGTGAGCTCCAAGCTGGGTGGTATTGCCTCTTACCTGGCTTTTTTCTATTGTGTTCATCACAGCTCGTTTGTAGATGGGGCACTAAACACTGACAGTTTGTCATCTAATAGGTGACTAGAGGCTAGGATATTCACAATTATTATAGAGGATTTTGAGTCAAATGCCTGGCTTCTATGCAAAAGAAAATTGAGATCTAAAATTTATGGTTACTACAGTAGATAAAGTGACTTGTGGTAGCAGTAGAAGAATCTTCGCACTTGGTTCTACAGTGAGCAGCAGCCCTTAAATATTTTTAAACCTTTTTAATGTGAGAGCCATACGCACAAAGAAATTTTAAGCATGCATGCAGAGCCTTGTTATGCAGGGAAGAGTGCCAGTTTTTCCTAAATTTGGCTAATAGTTCTAGAGGCTTTTAGTAAAACTTACATCGAGGTAACTGGATTTTGCTACAACAGGAAATGCAAACTTGAGAATGTTAGCTGCTAAAGGCTAATTCATGGCATGAACCTTTCTTTATGAATTAATAAACACTGCAATGTCTATTCTGTGTAACACAAGAGTTCATTTGAGTAAGTTTTCTTCTGATACTTACCTCACATCTTTTAATCCTTACTACTTTTGATACTTACCTTGGCAACCTTTGGATAGTATCTGTCCACTCAGAAATGTGCCCGCCCGTTTAGCCATTTAAAGCCACTGAACCTTTTTTGCACACTATCAATTAATATAAATTTCAGGACCAAGAAAAGCTTTGCTTGTAACATAGGTGGTGTTTTTTTAAAGGATTTAATAATATGTAACAGTCTTATCTTTTTATCTTTGCTAGCTTAACCTTTGGAATATACTGTCCACTCAGCAGAGTCTTTGCTGGTGGTCAGGTATTTTGCTATCCGTTGGTGTTGCTTGGTACAGACTACAATGTTTTGATACATTGCAAAAATGGAACGTGCCCTTTCCTTTCAAAAAAAAGAAAAAAAAGAAAATCAGAATAGCAGCACAGGGAAAAACCCCACCAGAATTGTCATGCAGAAAAGCAGTCGACTGGCGTAGAACTAGCACAGAACTGCATCTGACAGTCTCCTCCTAACAAAAGTCCAGCTGCGCAGAGATGCCTGCAGCTTTTTCCCTGACAAATGTCTGGGCTTGCTGTTGTATTCCCTTCTTTACAGCATTGGTTCTAGCTCTGCTTCCATTGACACTCCTCCCAGCTGGAGCTTGCTTTCCTTCTTTGCTGCAAATACTCCCAGCTTCTGTGTACCTGACTCACTGGAGACTTGTCCTGCTGTGATCTAGCAATGGCTGGTAGGCAGAGATTGGCTCTTGGCCCTTCTTGAAATGAAGTTGGGGTTTTTGGTTTCTATTTCTGTTTTGTAATGTAAGGAATGTGGAATTGAGGAAAACCAGCCAGTTTCTATTTTTACCTAGGTCAGGCAAATACTACTATCACTTGTTTATATTCTCCCACACAACCTGTAACCTGTCTTTCAGATATAAGAGAATTTTATAGTAGGTTGAGAGTTGTCTTAGCAAAAGTGTCTTTAAAATGAGGTGTTTACCTGTTTCCTTGTGAGTTTCAGGATACTGTATTTCCTCCCTGTAAGTGTGAGTATCTTGAGCTAATAGTGTGTCACCCCAGGTAGTGACTAAGCCCCTGTGTAGGCTTTTTCTGAGTGTGCAAGAGCAGCAACTTCACAGTGGTAGAGATTGTTCTGAAACCCTGCATTTTGTGTGACCTCAGTATTGCAGCCTTCAGCAAAAATAATGTTGATTCAGGATTTGAAAGGGAGTGTTTTACTCAACTGATCCAAATAAATACAGTGCTTCTTACAAGTGGATTTTAGGAACTGGACTTAGTAACACTGGTGTGGGGAAACACTTGGGTGTTGGATTCTCTTCCCAAACTGACAGCACTGAATCTTACTCCTAAGCCCAATTTTTAATTATTCTGTTTGTTTATGGTATATTTGTATTGTGAACTTTGAGCATTCAGTGAATTATCTCCTTAAATTTTAATAAAGGTCTAGAAGGAGGGAGTTCCAGTACCCCTACTGAGAGTCCATTACACTTCAGACATGGAAGGTGCAGCAGAATGGTTAACCTCTGAACCTAAATTTACAACATGGGCTTTAGTTTATCATATGACTTAAAGAAAGGGGAGAGGAACAGGTGTTGTTTTTCCATTGTTCTTATTAACTTTTTTAATGTTAGCTTCAGTGTCAGAGAATGCAGAACCTACACCTGAAGAACAAGACAAGTCGCTTGACAAACCAAAACAGAAAAAGAATCGTTGTTTCATGTGCAGGAAGAAGGTTGGACTTACTGGTAAGAAACACTGATGTCACTTTTCTTAGACTTGTTTAGGCTTTAGACCTTTGAAAGGTTCTCCTAAGGGGAAAATGGGGCATGGTCATCTCTGTTGTTGATTTGAAATAAAACTTGGCCAAAGGTGCTCTCAGATGGCTTTTACTAGATCGAATCATTCATGTATCATTCTGTTTTTCAACTTCTTGTCTTTTAAGTGAAGTTCATAATTGCAAATACTTCCCCTTGGAAGTCTGCTTAGCTGAGGAATTGGGTGATAGTTTGCTGCCGTTCACTAACCAGCTTTGCAGTTGTTCAGTGGAAGGGCCTAAGAAAACTTGAGTTCTGCGGGGTGGAAATCCATAAACAAAGAAAAAGAGCAGGAGGTCTCTAGGAATGTGTTTGTGCTAGTGTGTCATGGGAATGGTCAAGTCAAATCTCACTGTAATCGCTTAAAAATGTATTATTTGTGATTCTTATGCTTTCTGCAGCAGAGGCTCTTTGGCTGATTGACACTGGTGACTGAGATTTATTGCTAGTGAGTGAACACATTCAGGATTTAAAACAAACCAGTATAATTAAGAATGTTGAAATGTCTAAGCTACTGTTTCTGTCCACAGGGTTTGAATGTCGGTGTGGAAACGTTTACTGTGGTATGCACCGTTATTCAGATGTACACAGTTGCTCTTACAATTACAAAGCCGATGCTGCTGAGAAAATCAGAAAAGAGAATCCTGTAGTTGTTGGGGAAAAGATCCAGAAGATCTGAACTGCTGCTTCTGCTGGAATACAAAAATCCTCTGACCATCTGCAGATTAAATTGACTTGAGCTTTTTTCCTTAGTCATCAGGAACGTAGAGCAGTGTATCTTGCCTAGACCTTTTAATCATGCATGTCATCAGATGAATAGATTCTTTTGTTTTTGTTTTTTGTTTTGAAAATGACTCTGAACATTTATTTTCATTGCAGTTTTCTGTGGCTGGAGACTTAAGTAAACTTTACAAGTATTATCCTTTTAAGATCATTTTAATTTTAGTTGAGTGCAGAGGGCTTTTATAACAAACGTGGAGAAAATATTGGAGGGCTGTGCTTTTCCAGGATAAAACATGCATGCGTTAACTTTGCAGTTTATTTTCTTGTTGTATATAGCTTTTCTCTGCAGCACAATTTCCTTTTTTTTTTTTTTGATAATGCCTTGTATGGCACAACTAGTTATCAGTAACTGAATGTATTTTAATCATTATGGCTGCTTCTGTTTTATTTTTCCATTAACGAGAGGTTATACATGTTCGCATATTAGCTTGTTTGCACCCTCTACCTATTTATGTATGAATCATTTGTAATGAGAGTGTGTGCTGAGATTGTCTGTGTGGTTTGTTTTTTTTTTTTTAAAAAAAAAAAATTGGGTTTTGTGTTTGCGTGTGTGGGGGGAAGGCTGTATGCACTTCACTGACTGCAGGTTTCATTGGGATTACATCCATCAGTCTGTCTGTACACAAATATGAAGAATGATCTGAAGTACCTGTGCTGTATTTATGTTTATCCATGTCTTAACTTTGATTAAATAAAATTTAAAAAAATTGGAGCCCCTGTGGCTGTCACTGGCATCTGTAATTTGGATTTCTCTTGCTTTATTGTTATGGGGATCTTCCACTGGCAGTTCCTTTACTTGCAGTGTATTTTTATTCACAGAGGCCGTGGACATTCCAGTGTCAGCTAACTTCTGATTTACTTTTCTTAACCTTTTCACCTACAACTATCAGACGAGAGTTTCCAGAAGCTTTCTGCCTTGTGCAATGATACACTCTGCCCAGGGAGTTTTCTGTGCTTCCTGTGCAGTGTGTTGCTCATGCAGGAGTTGGGGTCATTTGTGACAATGTACTTAAGCCGGGGGCAGACCTACAGGTAAAAGGGATGTGGCTGGTGACCAGGCTGTGGATCCGTGCATGGGATTCTGGTTCTAGGAAGTAGAGCTGTGGGGTGTGTGATCCACTACCTGGCAGACAGCACTGCACAGGTTTCCTTGAAGTTTAGATGAGAGAATGGTTCTTGAGTTTCTCCTGGGAGATGTCCTTACTTCTATGGATTTCAAACCTCAGACTTTGATGTTGAGCACTGCCACAGCCACCCTCCATGTGCTCCTCAGTGGATCTACACGTTTGCTAAGTGATCCCTGTTTGGGGGTAGGAGGAGTTGTTCTTTTATTGTGAGGGTGCTCAGTAAGTTTCTTTTAATTAAGACTGCATGTCTTGTCAGATCAGAGTCTGCCTCAACTGTTCAGCTACCCTGGACTTCTACATAACTTAAAGGTTGAGTGGTTTAACTTCAGCCAGTGCTGCTCATCACCAGAGTTAACAGCACACTAAAGTAGAACTAATTCCTCTCCAGATGGTACTGATCTGCAGTTGAAATTTTACTTGGTGACTTGCTGCTGCTTTGAAGCATTTGTGAAATAAGTGAGATTGCATGGCTTTATTTAAAACGTTAAATTTTTAATCAAAGCTGGCTACATCCTTTAAAATTCAGAATGCTCTTTAAAAGCTATGGCTGGCAATTAGTAGATAAAGCACTACATTTAGCATATGAATGTAAACACTATGCACCAGAAGGGAGCTTTCTCTATCCGATAGCTATGGAAAGTCATCTGCAAGACCCAATAATAAATGAAGTATCCTGTGCTTGTGAAAATGGCTTAACCACAGTCTATGAAGCACATGGGTTTTATAGTAAAGGAATATTTAACTCTTTTCAGCAAGTTTTGGTAATGGTCTGCTTTTTTTCTGGGTCAAAGATCCTGTATTTCCTCAGCTAAATTTCCTCTTACACAGCACAAAGCATGGAAGAGCAGCAGTGTCTTTTGTGGGTGTTTCTCAGTTTGCTTTCCTCTTTGCTGCTACTTCTCTATTCTCTAATCTCTGTTTTCTCCATTTGACTCTTCCCTATTTCTGGTGTCTTCCTAAAAGTGTCCTTTTCTCTCCCCTACATGCCCTCCCCTCCGATCTGCCTCTCATCTAACAGCAAAACTTCTGGGCCAAGCAGAGAGGAGACACTGTAGATTTCAGAATGGGGGGTGAACACCAATCAGGTTTGTGTTTTCTGTTATCTGAGGGGTTGAAAGAAGAAAAGGTACAAGAAAGGCAACTGCTTTCGAATTCACATACTCCTTTTACCACCATCCATTATGAAGCAAGAGCTCTTCTGGCTCTTGATTATACAGTAGGAAATGGGACTGCGCTGAGAGGAAACCTGCCTTGTGCTGCCCTGGCAGTACCAGCAGCGAGGCAGATCAGCGCCGGGCAAGGCTGCTTCCACCCTCATTCACAGAGCAATTGAATAAACCTTCTTTGGCCTGGTTTGTGCAGGTTTCTCGGTGTTAAGAATATCGACACTTAAGAATTGCGTGTCATCTTTGTTTGCTTTGGCATTGGCTCTGTGTTATCGTGGTGGTTGATCTGCTTCTCAATCTGGGGAACTAGCAAAGCTTTATATGTTGTGTCATCAGCTTGAGGTTAGCAGATGAACATTTTAATTAATACCAGCACATTCATAGCACTACAAAACACTTGAGTAAATCTGTCTTTTCAAGACGCGCAGTGTGTATTTGAAACATGCTTTCAAGATATTTTTCTTTCATTTCAAGCAGGTTCTACCTAAGTCCTATAACCTTAACACGGAACATCTTCACTCTTAAAAACATTTCCAACAGTCAGTGCAGTGGAGTTGTACCTTGGGTACTGGAATTTTACAGGAAATTTTACAGAAGTTTGTGCAAGGTATTGTATTTTAAGTAAGACCTCCTTTCACATGCACCATGTGAGCTTGCGTCTCCGCTAGTGAAGAGCTGTCACAGATGGGCTGTCATCAATGCTGTTGTGTCATCTTACACCGAGTATCTGGCTGTACAGCTTGCTGCATTTCTTCTAATGGGTCTTGTCTGCCAAAAAAAAAAAGTTGAGCAGGAAAACAGTTCTTTGACTTAGCAGTCACCAGCATCTAACCATTTTCATTGAAAAGTGGTGGTCTTCGCTATTTCGTTCTAATTTCAAGGATCTTCCCTCATTGTTTTCTAGTATCCCTGAATATGGGTGAACTTACTCCTGCAGGTGGGAGAAAGCTGGGGCTGGGAGCAGAGAGACCAATCTCACTGCTCTTTATGGTTGGTTGCACATACATCTTTGTTTTTAAGCTGCTGGAACTATCTGGAGAAAATGGAAAGACTGGGTCAGATGCAGCATTACGAAACTGAAAAGCACACAAAGTGCAGTTTCAGGTGTGAGCTGTGCAGTGTCCCAAGGGTTCGTGAGTTCCTGGTGAAGAACTGCTCGGTGTTGTGGATGGAATTGTTTCACCGTCGCTCTGGTGCATAAGCGACTCCTCAGAAGGTCGACGCGTGGGGTCACCTCTGCTCTTAGAGCTGTCTGTCGGATCCCCCACCTGCAGCCGTGGACCTGGTGACAGGCAGCCTCAGTTTCCCGGGAGGGTTTATGGAGCAGGAAGAGCCCGTCTGTGTTTCTCCACCAGTTGTACCTTGCTGGGAAGAGCTGCTGACTCATGCAAACCTCTGGTACTGATTAACCGCTGCCCTAGGGAGCAGGCAGAGGGGTGGGATGGAGATGGATCAGCGATTGGTTTGGGGCTGAGGATGGGAGATGGGATTTGGTGCTTCTGTGCGATGTGTTACAACATCTGAAGAGATCTCCTGCCTAGGAAGTCGGGCAGCAGCCCTGGAGGTGGGCACGCTCTGTAAGCAGGGTCTGCTCGCTGCTCACCATGTCTTTCATCCAGGTAGACAAGGACTCAGACTTTCCTCTCCAAAATCTCCCCTATGGGGTTTTCTCTACTAAGGAGGAGGTAAGCAAGAGTAAACTTTGTCCTTGGGGTGTTGTAATTGTTCTGAGGCTGTGAAGAAGAGCAGAAATTCCCGGCAGCCTGGGATAAAGGAAGACTTCCCAGCCTGAGACATTTGCACAGGCTTCCTGACTTGACAGCAAAACTGTAGCTGCCACACTGTCTTTTTTCTTAATGTGGTTATTTTGATGACAGCTTCTTTAAAATTGCACAAAAGAAATGAAAAGTGTCTTAAGAGAAGTACTTTGGGTAATACATACAGTAGTTTTTGTGTGTTTTTGACTGTTTTTATGAAATCATTAAATCTGCCTTTGATCCTTTCTCTACTTAGAGGCACAGCACAGTTCACGGTGACTTTTTTTTTTTTTTTTTTTTTTTTTTTTTTTTTTTTTAACTTGATCCCTCATTTTCTTTGTGAGTGGAATCATACAGTCACCCTCAAGAAGCCATATTAAATATTTTAATCTACTGTTAATTCTGTAGCACCCAGTCCCCCTGACATAAGGGAAAAGCATAGTCTGTGAGTGAGTGTTACCTCCCGGTATGTTAAAAGCCTGCTCTTGGTGAGTTTGATGGTTGCTAAAACATTAAACCAGGGCACAAAATCTGTGTTTCACTTCCGTGCAGCTGACTCCTTGTGTTTTATTGGACATACATTTTTGCAATGATGCGTTAAAAGTGTAAAAGTGTGTTATGTTTAAAGCTGTTCCCCAAAGGCTACGGATTGAGCCCGCTTCGAGCCTTATATTTTATGATCACGTAAGAAAACATGGTTCAACCTTTCTTCAATGGAGGTAGCTCCATATTCCCATTTACCTGAGGACTTAGCCCAGCTAGGCTGAACCTGATCTCTTGAGCCCCAGAGATACGTCCTCCTGGAGAAGGGTAACGAGTCAAGAGATGCATCTCAGCAGGAAAAAGTGGAGGATTTATTTATCGTTGCTCACGGAAACTTCATGATTAGCTCCTGGTTTCTGCTGTCTTGGCTTATCCATGCAGGTTTAAAAAAAAAAAAAAGAATTTAAACTGGAAGATTGTGTTTTCTGATGTGGTATTTTCCAAAGATAAACCCAAGATGGTTCCTTTAATCTTTTCCTAGATGTGTGTGGTGTTATCTAGCAAGTTTGGATTATTTTTCTGACTCCAGTAACTGTTCTCTAAAGAAAACATCTTCACTCAAACCCTATGAAAAGACAGGCAAGGACTTACAGAAATTATCTAGGAAAATAATGTTCTAAAACTAGCACAACGTTTTAATGATTTCAAGCTAAAGCAGTTGATGTCATTCCTGACTATCCCAGTTACAAATTAAGCTGACGTGACCTTTAGGTTTTTTTCTGCAGGAATGTTTGCTGAATAAATACTTACTATCACATTTGGAATCTTGCTTAGAAATTAGAGGTTATAAAATAGGTTTAATAGCGTGGATTTTCATAGATGGTTATTCCCTTTTGGTAAACTGGGTTTTGTAATGACTGTAACTAGTTTGTCTAAAGACAATAACTGAAATTTGTCTTTGACTGCTGCAGCATTTTCACACACACACCCCCCCTGTACGGCAGCAGCAGGCTGCAGTGGGATGGTCCGTGCTGCTCCCCTGCCGTCACCACCGGCTCCGCACGCGCTTGGCACCGGCCCTGCGAGAGCTGCGCTGGGTGAACGGGGCCTTTGTGTCTTGGGGTGCATCTGCCTGGCAAATGCAGCCACAATCTACTGGACATGTGGGAAGCTGTTCCT